AGATCAACGGCGGTGGCGCACCGATCGCAAACGAGCCGATGCAGGCTATCCCGTCGTTCAACGACCAAACAGCGACTTCGCAAGGTGCGGGTCCTGAAGGAGGAGATCAGGATGCCACTATGAGCATGGCTGATGGCTCACACGCGGATGATTCGATGTGGGTTCCCGGTCTAAGACACCAGTCACGGACGTCAGCTAACAATGACAAACTCAGACCTACAGGACCGAAGGCGATGCGTGGCGGCCGGCAAGGTGGGAGGGGTCGGATGTTGAACCAGATCAACAGAGCTTTAGATCGCAACAATGACTCAACCTTACACCGTGTGCGCGGTCAACATGGCCGGATCAATTCTCATGGCCGGGACCACACCAAAGGACGGTCTCATCAGAACGGCGGCGGTAGGCGCCAAATGAATAACGGAATAGCCATGGGTGGCACCCAATCGATGATGAACATGAGCCCGCAAGATCAGATGCACTTGATGTCTCTGCTAGAGGAACAAGCTCGGATGATGGCACAGCTCATGCCAGGATTTGTCTCGCCTGCGATCAACCCAGCATTTCAGCAAAACAACCAACAACAACAAGGGCGCTCCTTGTTTGACCGTGTGGAGCGTCAAGGACGCCCACATGGTAACTTCTCTAATCGTGCCCAGCACCACGGCATCTCGGCAAAATCACCCAGCGACGGCCACACCGATATGGATACCAAGCCTGATGGCCCACAGGACGAGAGCAATCCCGACAGTGTCTGCCGCTTCAATCTTCGCTGTACCCGAAAAGATTGTCCCTTCGCGCACCAGTCACCGGCTGCCCCGGAAGGCACTCCTGTGGACGTGGCCGATCCATGCCCATACGGCGCCGCGTGCAAAAACCGGAAATGTACTGGGCGTCATCCTTCGCCTGCCGTCAAGTCCGCACACCAGGCCGAGGAGCTCTGCAAATTCTTTCCTCATTGTACAAACCCCCACTGCTCCTTCAAGCATCCCTCAATGCCTCTGTGCCGCAATGGTGCCGACTGCTCTGTGGAAGGTTGCAAATTCACCCATCTTCAAACACCTTGCAAATTTAACCCATGCCTCAACCCAAGCTGTCCTTACAAGCATGCGGAAGGCCAGAAAGGTGCCTTTTCGGACAAAGTCTGGACTGCGGATCAGGACAAGCCTCGTGTCAGCGAGAGGAAGTTTGTTTCAGATGAGAATGCCGCTGAAGAGCTGATCAAGCCGGGTGCTCCGAGCGAGGATGGCACCCAGAACCAGGAAATTATAACGTGATACCCCCGCGAACGCTACGATATCTTCTAATTTCGAACGGTCGTACCCGGGCCTGAGTTGAATCTAGAAATTTGCTTCAAAACATATTCTCAAAGCTTGACTTCCGTTGTATTATTCTCATTTTGTGGACGATGGCTGGCTGGACGGGCGTTTGTTGATTTTCTCACCAATCCATGGGCAGTGTAATGACAGAACATCATCATGTTGGCTTGTAAATAGAACCTGGGTATCAAGAACGGTTTCGAAATGCGTCAGACCTATTTCCTCCTCTTAACGATGAGCAATTGTAGCCGTACCTCGCTCGAAAATATCCTTCAACGAGACTTAGAAATGTCGGTCGTACTGAAGTTTACCATACTTACTGGTAATTTTACCGCCGGGCTTCGGAAGTCGACGAAGGCCTCTTGCATGATCGTGCCTCACTCAGTCATGCTTTTCATTATCTTCCCTTCAATATTCTTCTGTATACACCATCACTGAGATGCGACTGCCATGTGCCCCTAGCCGTGCACTGAGAGCAGTCCGGACGCCATTGGCGTTCGCCCGCAATGGCCAGAAGCACTCACTGCATACGGGCACTTACAACGCCGCGGTCATAGGAGGTGGCATCACAGGTCTCACGACGGCCTTCCGCTTATCGCAGGACCCAAAATGCACCAAGATCACTCTGTACGAGAAAGAACAGCGGGTTGGGGGTTGGATGCAGTCGCAAACCGTCCCTGTCGGCGACGATGATGGGAAAGTTGTGTTCGAATATGGACCAAGGACCCTGCGGGCTGCGATTCCCGCCTGTCTCCCACTTCTTGATTTGGTACGGAATGACATACTCTTCTGGTAGTATTCGGATAGCTAACTTTTTGTTTTTTTCTTTTTTTTTTTTTTCAGCTCGTCGAGCTGGATTTACTCGAAGATGTGTTGATCACGAGCAAGGCCTCCCCGGCGGCCCGGAATCGCTACATTTACTACCCCGATCACCTTGTTCGCATGCCTGCTCGCGATCCCAGCCGCGGCCAGCTATCAGACCTCTACTCGAACTTTCGTACATTGCTTACGGAACCTGTCTTTGACAAACTCGTGCGAAGTGTTTTGACGGAGCCATTGAAGCTGCCCCCGGAGCAGAAGTCTCGTGACTCCGACGAGTCCGTAAGGGACTTTGTTTCTCGGCGATTGGCCCCCGAGGTCGCAGATAACATAGTCTCGGCCGTGTATCATGGCATCTACGCCGGCGATATTGACCGGCTGAGTGCGCAGACCCTGTTGGGAACTTTCCGGGACCTTGAGCATGATGACCGCCGTGTGCTTGGAGGCGTTCTACATGCAGCCACCTCAGATATCAAGTTCAATCTCATGGATGACATGCTGGCGTTGCACTCGCTGGCTGCGACCAAGCAGAAGAGCTATTGGAGCAGTCTGAAGACGTTGGTCAGAGACGCTAGTGTTATCACGTTGAAAAACGGGGTGCAACAGCTTACTGATACCTTGGCTGCGGCATTGCGCAAATCCGGGAAAGTGGACTTATTAACTGGTACAGAGGTGAAGGCTATTAGCACAAATCCCGTTAACTCTGATCTGACCGTAAGTGTAACTCTTGTCAATTATGGGTATATACATAAACTCCATGCTGATATGCTTGGTTACAGATCCACTTCGGAAATAACAAGTCGAATGCCCATAACCGGGTGATTGCAACGAATCCGGCGCCCAACCTGGCACAGCAGTTGGCCAAGCCTACAAGGTCGGGACAGAGGCTGCCTCAGAACTCGATTCGCCAACTGCAAGAACACAACTACGCCGTGAGCGTGATGGTTGTCAACCTTCTGTATGAGAATCCCAATCTACTCCCTGTCAAGGGATTCGGCTACTTGATCCCGCGGTCGATTCCATTCGAACAGAATCCCGAGAGGGCCCTAGGGGTGATCTTCGGTTCCGACTCGAGTGTAGGCCAGGACACTGCGCCCTGCACCAAGCTCACCGTAATGCTGGGCGGGCACTATTGGGATGGTTGGAAGAAGACAGACTACCCAGACGATGAGACCGCCATCCAGATGTGCCAAACCCTGCTCCAAAGACATCTTGGCATCAACGACCGGCCTATTGAGGTTGCTGTCAAACTGCAACATCAAGCTATCCCCCAGTACACGGTTGGTCATCTGTCGCGCATGCGGGACCTTTCGCAAACAGTGCGCCAGGATTTCAACAATCGGTTGACTCTGGCCGGGAATTGGTATAATGGCGTGGGGGTGACGGATTGTGTTCGGCAGGCGTACATGGCTGCGTCGTACGGTGTTGGCGCACTTAAGCTCGATGCACCGAGTAGTAATGTCCCCTGGGTGAAGTACGATTGGGAGGACTGGGAACTGGAGGGTGGTATACCGACCGCTCCTGTGCGAGTGACCGAGACTTTTAGGTCGGAACGCAATCACTTTCTCTAATTAGTGTTTGGGGCACCTTGCCCTTGCACAATTGTACAATATGCACTATCTTGGAACAGAAAGGATGATGGAATGACCATTGAATGCACTATGGTGTCTCCTAGTCTGTAATATGACGACTATCGGCCATTTGAACATTCGTACGCATGCCTGAGTGATCTGCGGACATAGTCAACTGGAGTAATCACTCTTTGTCATTGACCATACCGACCCAGCATAGTTCGATTCTGTTAATTCACACGGATTCTGACGAGGACGCATTCTCGTCGTCTGCCCATGATCCCTCCTCGAATCGTTGATGAACGTAAGATGCCCGGGAGACGATGCTTTCACTTGCCGCCTGAGACAAGGCACCTGTAGTCAAGGCCATATACACTTCGCCCAGCAGCCTTGTATGATAACATATTGGAGAAGACTCTGCAGCGATTCGAGGGTTAAGATGTCGAGTGCGGCTGAAGAACTTGAACGGTAGTGCACAGTCCGTTCTATAAAATCAGAGAGCATGTTGCTCACAATTCATTCAGGAACCGTCCTTCTCCTGCTCTTTCTCATCGGTAGAATCTTTCTTGTCGCCATTCGTATCAAAGCCCAGTGCATCAAGCTGACGAATCAACTCCTGGATCTTGATCACTTTCTCCAACTGCTCGGGCAGCAGCGCCTCCCCCTGGTTCTTCTTGTCACGCAGATCGCGCGCCTGTCTGAGCTTCTTCTTCAAGTTCCGTGCTTTCTTCTCCTTCTCCGCTTCAGGATCGACTTCCGGCTGCGCCTCAGCGGTAGAATCTTTCTTCTCAGCAGCAGACGCACCCGAACGCCAGCTCTCCAGATCCCGCACACTCGGTCCGTTGGTCGGTGTCGATATGGAAGCCGACTCGGATTCCTGCGCCGCCTTGGCCTTTTTCTTCGCCTCTCGCCGCTTCGCGTTCTTGTTGCTGGCTGCTGTGTTGGCTTTGTTCTCGGTCGCCTCGCCCAATCCCTCTGCGCCTGGAACCCCGCCAGTACCGCGGTTTCGCCACGCGGCTGCGGCACGGTTCTTGTACAGTTCGACGTCTTCTGGTGGGCGGTAACCTGGTCGAACCCGGATCTCGCGACGCTTGGAACCGTCTGGGCGGACTGAAGAGGGGATGTAACGTTCCCCGGTTACGGCGTCAGTAGTGATGCCAGAATTCGTGGACGCCATTGTGGCTTAACCTAGCAGGTTTTTAGTAATTACTCGCAAGTCAATCGTCGAGAGAATTCTGTATAGCAGAGAAAGATAAAGCTGCTGTGAGTGCGAGCCAAGAAGGATGACCATCAAATGAAGTGTTGATATTGAGTGTTGAGGGAAATGCTGAAAGGCGGAAACCGTGAGACTCGTTCCGGCTGACCAATCAGCAACCCGGTGATTCCCGCTGCTGCTTTTCGCGCCGGCTCGAAACTTCAATTCAACCTCTTCCGTTTGGAGTCCCTCGCTCATCTGCAACTGGCTTTGCTCGTCTTCCCTTTTTTCTCGCGCTTCTCTCGAATAACCCATCTACAGACACAATGGCCGGTGCTGTAAGTACTGCTGAAGTTGAATAGTGAATGTGCAATTGGCTAACTCCGGTCCCTCCGATACAGCTCGCTTCCGCCATCTACCAGCATGTCTCCCTGCCTATACCTATCACTTGAGGACGATTTCCGAGCAACGCTAACCTGGGCTATTTTTCGCGATTGACAGGGGCCTGATCCGCAGAAACGCGGTATACCTGACCACCATCTTCGCCAGCGCCTTCGCTTTCGAGATGTACGTGTGAAACCCGATTGGACCCGGATATACAGAATCGCTGACAATGCTACCCGAATAGGGCCTTTGACACCACTTCCAACAAGATCTGGGATTCCATGAACCGTGGTGTATGTTGCCCTCGTCGATTCCTGTCCCTTTCTACAAACGGAACATTTTGACTGATGAATGTACACGTTACAGCGGCAATGGAAGGACATCAAGCACCTTTATATGAACAAGGAGGAGGAAGATGAAGACTAGAGATGTGAATTCTCGCTAGAAGAATAGAGATGCAGCACCAATCCTCATCAGATGCATCCTCGGGGGATGTTGCCTGATGCCCATGTTATATTACTGCTGAGTACAAAGGGGGAATCGTTGTTGTTATTTTCAGCCGATTGTATGCAATAGAATTTGGAAAAGCTGTAACCGACCCTTCATTCATTGGCTTGTACTTTTTCTTTAAAAGTAGAAATCTATCTACCAGGTCCCTTTCGAGCGGGGAGAAGATGCCCGAATGGGAGTTCTGTGGCGGTAAAAGACATTCAGCGGTCACCCGCTGTTTGCGTGCTCCGACGCAATCATAGCAGCTCCTGCTCATCGACACACTGGGTTTTGCTTCTTCCCGTTGTAGTATTGTTGTTGGCTGTCTTCATAGCTTCGATCTTGTGGACATACAGAGGAAGAGACTCTGGAAGTTTCTCATGATCGGAAGCTTCTATTGGTGAGTTTGATCTCTACACTGTGTTCTGTCAGGCTTACTAGAGCTCTTTGCCCCGCTGAGGGTCATACCTACTCTCTCTTCCAATATTCATCCGCAACTAATACATTTGATATTTCTTTTGGGTTTAGGTTTACACTATCTCCAGATCTTCTTGTTCCATATATCTTCTGCCTTGCTGTCTATATTAGCGCCCTTCACGACGTCAACGCTTTCCTGCCAATTATCATACGAAGTAGCACATTCGGAATCACCCTCATTGTCTGTCCCGCCGCACGGAGCTTTCGTCTCACAAAACCGACTCTACGCAGCGCTGACTCCCGCTTTGGGCAGCTGAATGAGAGTTGGATCTACACTTATATCAAGCTGAATGATGCTCACGGAATGTGAGAGAAAGCTTGGTGAAGGCCTCCTTCGGCTTCCCTTCGAACACGGTTGTCGCTACGGACCCGATGCCGAGCGAGATCTGCTCGAGCTCCTCTTTCGTTCGCTAGTAGGCTTCGATGAAGACCGTTTACACCAGCTCTTCCCGGACGGGTATCCGGAAGGTCCATGGAAGCTAGCTGAAGCGCAAGGTGCACAAGAAGGAGCAGAGTACACGGAAGCTGCGCGGGGAAAGAGATGTGGACATATTTTCCGGGCCGGGGAGGCAACGTATCGATGCGTTACCTGTGCCGTTGACGATACGTGCGTTTTGTGCAGTAAATGTTTCGACTCCTCCGACCACTCGGGTCATCAGTACCAGATCTCACTATCGTCGGGTAACTGTGGTTGCTGCGACTGCGGCGACGATGAAGCCTGGCGGCATCCTCTGTTCTGCGCGATTCATACCGATCGTGGCGACACCAAGGGCAAGCAGCGCGCTCAGACTCACCTGCCCTCGGATTGGGCGGAAAATATCAGGCTTACGATTTCCCGAGTGATGGACTATTTTTGCGATGTCATTTCGTGCTCTCCGGAACAGCTGAGATTACCCAAGACAGAGGATGGCATAAGACAGGATGAAGTGGCGTCCCGGCTCACCGGAGATTGGTACGGTGGCGGGGATCAGGCAGAGGAAGAGCCGGAATGGGCTTGCGCTCTCTGGAATGATGAGAAACATACTATTCGGGACGTCGCTAATCAGGTCGCTCGGGCTTGCCGGGAACGAATCCGCTTTGGCGAGAAGAAGGCCTACGAAACCAATGATATTGGGAGGACTGTGGTCAGGCAATCCAAGGACTTGTCACAACTGCTCAAGGTATCCCAAGTCCTCGAGCAGATCAAGGTTACGACTACAGTGCGCTCTGCTCGCGATACATTCCGCGAGCAAATGTGCGGAACTATTGTCGAATGGCTTTCGGATATTGCCGGGTGCACGGTACTGGAAGACGATCAGATTTTGCGCCATGTAATCTGCGAAGAGCTCCTCAGTCCTTGGCGACGAGGTAGTGGTGCCTATAACGCCAGTATTGGATTGAAGGGTATCGACGACCACGCAAGACAGGAGCATTCGCCATACCGCACGCTAATGCTGGCCGCCATCGCTCCTCAAGGTCAAGTGATGTTCGCGCCTGAAGCGGATCTTGAAGATGATGAGGAAGATAATGCTAATGGTAACGACGAAGGGGAGGGCGACGATGACGAAGATCATGCCGAGACCCATGAAGATGCGGATGACGAGGACGAGGAGATGGAAATCGATTTGAACAGATTGCGAGAAGAGGTGGAGGAAGATGAAGATATGGTTATGGGCAATGCGGATGACACCGTATCACTCGAAATCGCTGCGAGCCTCATCGAGGATTTGCGTCAGAGGCGAATGGCGTTGTTGGATGAACAAGAACGGCAGCAGCAGCAGGAATTGCAAGAGCAGCAGGAACAATCTCAAGCGCAGGACGCACAACAGGCTCAGCACGACGTGCATTCGGCCGGTGACGAGCACAGTGCTGACGACACTGGCGAATGCGCTGACATCTCCACCGTTGCCATTCCTAAAACTCCCTCCGGGGTGGTCAAGCCTCCTCCAGCCAGGGCGCCAGGGTATTGGCTGACTCGGCCTGCTGGCTTTTCCTTCAGGGAGAACGTACCTGTCTACGAGGACTTTTATCAGCGTACGCGACTGGACTGGATGATTCTATTCGATTTGAGATTGTGGAAGAAAACGCGCACCGATCTTCGCGATCTTTACATCGGCACCGTGGTCAGCGTCCCTCAATTCAAACGAATTCTGGGCCTACGCATGTCGGCCCTCTACACCGCATTGGCCCAATTATACCTCATTGCCGATAGAGAACCAGATCATTCTATTGTCAACCTTTCCTTGCAGATTCTCACAACCCCGTCAATCACTGAAGAGATCGTGCGGCGTGGAAATTTCTTGACCAAAGTGATGGCTATCCTGTACACGTTCTTGACCACAAGACAGGTCGGCGAGGCATATGAGGTCAATCCGAACGCAACGTTGGCGTTTGACGCAGGTACAGTCACCAACCGGCGCCTTTACCACTTTTTCCTGGATCTGCGATACCTTTTGCAATCCGAGTATGTACAGCACCACGTCCGTACCGAGGAGCAATATCTTTCTCAATTCCTAGACCTTGTCAAGCTTTCACAGGGTATCTGTCCGAATGTCCGCGCGGTTGGGGAGCATGTTGAGTACGAGCCAGACGCTTGGATAAGCGCTTCAATTCTAATGCGAGAAATTAATCGTCTCTGCCGCCAATTTTGTGAAGCTTTCCGCGATCCTGAAGTCGATGGCGGAAAAAATCTGTTCAGGGCGATCCGAATGGCTACTGTTTCTGCAATTGTTCACTCCGCCGGATTGGAGCGCCAGCGATTCGAGCAGGCAGAGGTCAAAGAGTACGTTCGTTTCAAGTTGCTGCCGTGCTTTGATTTCGAGGTCGACCACACTGGCCAAATTCCGCGTCATCGCGTGGTGGACTTTGTCGTTGAAAAGGGGTCTATTAGCTTTCACCATGCACTGCATTACACACTCTCGTGGTTGCTCGAATGTGCGCGTAATGTGAGCGATGCCCAAATGCGTGAGGTTCTCTTAGATGCCGCTCGCATGGCCAACGACAGTATCATTCGTGACAGCTCCCTCACCCCCGATGACTTGCTGCTTACAATGTTTGACTACCCATTGAGAGTGTGCGCGTGGCTGGCACAGATGAAGGCTGGAATGTGGGTTCGCAACGGCCTCAGTCTCCGGCATCAGATGTCGCAGTATCGGGGGGTGTCATCGCGTGACTTTGCGTATTACCGCGATATCTTTCTGCTGCAGACCGCTTTAGTGACCTGCGATCCAAGCAGGGTTCTGGCATCGATAGCAGATCGTTTCGGCATGGTGGACTGGATGACCAGAAACTATACGCCACGCGCTGGCTACGAGGACGCGCAGATCATTGATGTAGCCGAGGAGTTTGTCCATTTGTTGATCATCCTGCTGACTGATCGAAACTCACTCGAGGCCATTGACGATAATGAAACTGTAACTCGTGACAACATCCGAAGAGACATTGCACATGTCTTATGCTTCAAGCCTCTTTCATTCTCCGACTTGTCAACGCGCTTGAGTGACAAGCTACTTGATTCGAGCATCTTCCAAGAGACTTTGGAAGAGGTTGCAGGATTCCGTCCACCTGAAGGCCTGAATGACACTGGCACCTTTGAGCTCAAACCGGAATATATTGATCTCATTGACCCCTATAGCGCTCATTACACCAAAAACCAACGAGATGAGGCTGAGAGCATCTACAGGGAATGGATGGCTAAGAAAACGGGAAAGAAGGCGTCGGATATCGTCTTCGAGCCACAGCTGCGACCTATCACTTCGGGCGCTTTCTCTGATCTTTCCCATTTCACGAGGACTCCACTTTTCACTCAGCTTATCCATCAATGTCTCGATTATGTCGTGTCGTCAAAGGAATGTTCGCCGAACATCCCATCAACGCGCGTTGAAACCTTCCTTCAAGTGGTGTTACATCTCATCCTGGCCGCCACTCTTGAGGACAATAGTCAGGAGGACGAGATGGCTGATGAGGCAAGGGGATCATTTATTTCTAATGCATTGTCAAGAGCCAGAGTGACTCAGGCGGGCAATCTCACCATCATCGGATTGCTAGAGAAAATATCGGTCATGCCTGAGTTCTCTGCCTGCGGGCCCAAGATTCGTCACATTCTCAAGCGTCTCTGGCAAAAGCGCCCGCGGGCGTATGCTTCTGCTACGGCTTTCTTGACTTTCCCATTCGACAGAGTGGACACGAGTTCCCCTGCCATCAATGTCGATAACGAAAAGGAATTAAAGAAGAAGCAAGCACTTGAACGACAGGCAAGGGTGATGGCTCAATTTCAACAACAGCAACAGAATTTTCTGAACAGTCAAGGCGCCATCGATTGGGGAGAGGAGGATTTCAGCGACCTTGAGTCGGAGCTCGAAGCCGCTCCAGAGGCCAAGCTCTGGAAGTATCCCAGTGGAACCTGCATTCTCTGCCAGGAAGAAACCAACGATTCGAGGCTATACGGCACATTTGCCCTGGTTCAAGACAGCAATATTCTG